TGTGAACTTTCTAACGACGAAAACATTGAAAACGTTAAAAAAAATTATAATAATTTTAGAGTGATTTTCTTGACATTTTACACCTCTTAATGTGATCTGATGATAGATCTAGGCTGTATTATCGATTTTAAACCACCTGACCTGTTTATAAATTAAATGAGAAATGTAATTGCGTTTCCTGTGTTATCACAAGGATGAATAGGCTACTGCCATAAATATAGGACAGTATTAAAAAAATAAAAATTCAATTTAATGAATTAGATTATCAAAACTGCATTGTTGTTAAATGCATTTCAATCTCTCCGCCTATTCGTTTCACTTTGTTGCTCCTACAGATTTTGCACTCTTTTGGACACTGAATTCAGTGCAACCCGTTAACTACGTGCTATTGTATAGGCGTACAGCGCCATCTTGTGAAATGTTGCTGCAATACGAGTTAGCTAACTTCGCTAGGGGCGCCAAAAGCTAGCTACTTGGGGTGCCAAGGCGATTTTTATTGGAACTGCGCCCACAAAATTACTGACAGAAATTCTTTCAGAAGTTGCCTCCCCGAAAGTCAGTAAATAATTCTCAGTCTATAATTATTACAATTATTAAAATATAAATCTACATAATATGCTATTAATATTTTATCATATTGTGTGGTTTGTTATTCATTTATAGTCCTAGCTATTCAAACATATATTTTACTAGACAGTTGTTTTCAGTTTATCAAACTAGTTTGATGGATAATCGCTGATGGTCTTAAGTATCCAGCAAGGGTGAGGTGAAATTCTACACGAACCCCTATTAAGACGCTTGTAGGTGGGCAAACGAACCCCAGACGCTTTCCTTATAAAGCGCATTGCTAAATTTAACCCGCCGTTTGCATACACCCTCCTGTAACTGTACATATGACAGCCTGTTTTCCCATCTGCGTCTTGGTATTCGTTTACCAGGTGGTGCAAATACACTTAAGAATGGCCTGTGTCATTTTAAAAGACTGTTTTGCAGTTCCCGATAAAGTTTAGTCGGTAAAAAAAAAAAACATTGTCCGAAGTACTACGTGATGGTAAATATGAAATCAGGTGTAGCCTATATAATAAGTTGAACAGACTGTCTGTCTAGCAGGGGTGGGCACAGGTTGCGTGACATCAGACGGGAGACCCTAAGTGCCCATGAATGCTTACATCGGTAGCTTTCTTGTCAGCCAGCTCCAGTTTCTCCTGAGCATCCTTCAGGGCTTCAGAGTATTTGTCCAACTCATCCTCAGTTGCCTTCAGCTTCTTCTGCAGGGCGACCAGGTCATCCTCGAGCTGCAGGAGAAGCACGTGTCAATACACATGGAGAGAGACAAGAACAGCTGCCAGCTGCGTTTATAACTATACATTATTTGTTCAGCTAACATCTATCATGCGTCAGTTAACCATGCAGGCCAATAAAACAGATGGTCTACTGTAGTAGTGAGACATCTGATATGAAAAACAGTTAAAACAGAATTTAAAATAAAATATAAGATAGAATAGAAATAGAAAAGCTTATTAAAAATAGACTTATGCCATAGGCCACAGCATAATTAGCTGTGAAAATAAAAGCAGACTATGTAAAGTCTGATTTATAAAGGTGCAAAGAGCCACCCAGATGCACGAGCGCCCGATTTAAGTCCAACCTGCTTGCTTCTGTCCTCTGCTCCCTTCTTGTCGGCCTCAGCCTGCTCTGCTCTGTCCAAGGCATTCTCCTTGTCGAGCTTGAGCATCTGCATCTTCTTCTTAATGGCATCCATGGCTGCGTTTGTGTATGGGTGGTCGCACCAAACACTGGACTGAGAGAGGCGATGAGCGTCTGTGCTGAACTGAACGCTGAGCTGGAGTGCGAGCTGGTCTCGCTGTAGCCTGTCAAATATGTGTCTTCACAGGAGCCTGAGAAGTTCCGCAAGACACCCAATACTTTTTTTGGGAACGGCCCTTAGCTGTTCCTCCTGCGTCGCGTCTTTTTTTAAGGATCTGGACGGCGATTCGCTGCCATCAGACATTTGACCATTGAAATGCCTATATATGGGATCTGAGGGCCAAGACGTCTTACAATGGGGCCGTGTTCCTATTTCCAACATCCTGAACCTGGAGAGAAAATGAGGGAAGAGGAGCAAAACTGTCCGGAGAGCAATTTACACGTTGTCCAATTGATGCAAAACGCGGAATACGCGAGCCCAACATATGATATTGGGCTGGCTGAATAAAAAGATGAAATCTCATGAGCTCTTTAAAAAGAAAAGTATAAGTCTTTACAGAGAAAAAAATCGATTGATTTTATACAGCACACGAGGGGCTCATGAAAGTGATTATCTTAAGGCAAGGCGTTACTTGTCTCTGGGTCAGTCTCGTAACAGAGAGGCATGTCAACGAGTCCCTTAGGCATTGTTCATAATCTGAAGAGCTTTAGATACGGTGGCTGTTGAACAGCAATCTCTCAGCACGCTTGCATTCATCGCCAAGCACCGTGCTGGCTTTAATCGGCCGCGGTAAAACCCCCCAAATCTCTTGGAATCACAACGACGTGTCGTGTGGCAAAGCTACAGATGTCGGCCATGCCGCGAAGATACAAGCCCCATGTAACGCCTCTATTTGAGCTTTGCTACATCATTTAATACATTTTCACTTGGGACTGAGGGTACTTAGGTTTAGATAGCTTATACTTGCAAGTTAGAACAGATAATTTACTTAATAGTTGTTCTACAGTTTTGAGCGTCATAACAGTCGTAATCTAAAGGTGTTTTTGGATAAGAAGATCATAAGATACAGTCTTTCTACAAAGCTGAGGTGTTTGCCCTCAACATTAATTTCTTATACCCTCACATTCCCACACCATGAACTTTTCTCCAGGAGGTTATTTTTACCCTTCTCCTCCTGAAGGAAGCACCTGCCACAGTCTCTTCTTAGCTGTTGTAAGACAAACTTTGCTACATAGGCTACACAATTAATCTTAATCTTGGATCACACAACAATGTTTTTATCATTGTGTATTACAAATGTAATGAACAATACTAATGAACTATGTTTACTTAATTTGCACTAAACTGCTTGTATATGCTAATTCATTATAGGACGCATGGAATATGGACACTTGACTTTTCTCTGCCTTAACTTTAAGAGTTTAAGGTGCTGAAGGAAAAAAACATATGCACTTTGAATTGTTTCTGTAAAACTATATATTCTGTGCACTGCCTTGAGATGGATTATCACCTATAATAATATTTAAATAAAAAGATTCCTAAGGGGATTTCACAGCAATAGAAGAACCATTTTCGGTTCCCCAAAGAAACTTTGTGTGAACAGTTCTTAAAAGAACAATTTTCTTAATGTATCGGACGTTTTATTAATATGGAGAAAGTTTTACTATAGAGATCCTTGCATTCAATGGAAATCTTCCATGGATGATAAAGGTCATAGAACCATAGACACCAATAAAGAACCTTGATTTCTAAAAGTGTAGTCTAGTTTCATTCTTTTCCTCACTGCTTTTCTGCAGTTAGTCTTTCAGAGTGATCAGAGTAACACGTTATAGCTGGAGACATTCAAGTAGACGTGCAAAGCTTCCTCTTGGGGAAAACCTTTCAACAACGCACTTACGCCTGGCACCTCAACCTGTTAAATGCCTTTGATTCATTTTCAAGATTTTCTGAATGCTGCTAAACAGGCCATACCTTTGATAGGACTATTCTGTATCATTTGAATGCTGTAATTTGGAGCAATATAATCTGAATTAATTTACAGAAAGCTGCAAAATTAAAATGTAGTACTTTATGAAAACTGGTCAAATTGATAGGCTAGGTTATTCTGTTTACACAGATCCAAGATAAAAGTAGCCTACTGGAGAGAGCAGAGCTGCTATTATGGTGTAATGGAATTAAACAGCCATAAACTCCATTATGTTGGCTCAACAAATATCCCACATATAACATATAACCACGGAATATTTCCCACGGAAATCATACAGACTGTCTCATGCTTGAAACTTCTGTTTGAAAACATCTACCGTTTGAGGAAATTTGACAGTTCTACTTGCCAAACCAATTGCAACTCTAATTGTACCAACTGTAAATCTTTAAACATGCATATCTGCTATGACCATCTCCCCAGGGGACTAAAATTAGCACCTCCCTGAGTATGTGATCCCACCCAATATAGCCCCATACCCTCATGCTGACTAAGACATACTACATCTGCCCTACCCCCATGCCAAAGACCAGTGGCTTAAAGGGGCAGTCAGCTTGAGCTTAGTGCAGTACCGTCATATTGAACTGATCTATAGTGCCAGATTACTCCATCTCAGTTCACAATCGTAAAGAATAGCTCAGAATAACAGCAAAACTGCAGACAGGAACAGAACACTGAGTACTTGCTTTAAACGAACGAGACAATGTTTGTGCAACTCACTTTAACAAATCACTGAGATGTAAAGTAAGTACCTTTTTAAATGTATGTAAATATCACAAAGCATTACTATATGGGGAAGAAGGTACATAGAAGACAAACTTGCTTCTATTTGGCATCTTGCAAGAGATTTATAACCTTCTAAATTGAGACTACATATATTTATACTTACAGATGACTGTGTAGAGCATTAACCAAAACTCAAACTCAGTACAGGCAAGCTAGCAAAATATTTCTATTTCTATCAAAATGAATGCTAAAACTGGGTATTTGGCATCCTTTTTAGATGAACACATTTTAAATGTTTTTTATTAGCAGGAAGCTATACTGTAGCCTCTCAGAAGCCAACTATTTGATGATACTACTTTTTACAGCTTTACCACTAATTTTTATGATACTGCACTTACCAGTATGTTATAAAAAAATAAATAATAAAAAAATACACTGAATAAAACCCTCTTACACTGAGTTACCTCTCTAACACTGTTCAGTGCACAACTAGAAATTTCTATTTTACATTTTCATTGCCAAATTCTCTTTCAGGCAAGGTACAAGAAAAACATTCTATATGAAAATGAACATCATTTGAAGAGAACTATACTTTGAAACCCTTTATTTTAAGTTAAAATGTTCTTCCACATAGGCAGAAGCTTTACATGTGTAACTTCTTTTACTGCAATGCTCTCAAAGGCACGCACAAATAAACAAGTCAATTGGTTTTCTCAAAATGCAGAGTCACTTTCAGGACTTTCTCAGTATTTTACACTCTTCTATAGTCGTCTACACAATGCATGAACTGGCAACGTTGATCATTTTGCAACTCTGCCATAAAATGTAATGGAGCATGCACAAGAAATGCAGTACAAAAGTGTGCTGTTTTAACATAGTCATATTTGTAAATAAGCCTTATACATTTACAGCAACATGAAGCACACAGACACTTTCCAGGTAGATCTATAGCTAAAAGGGTAACTGCTTAAAGTGAGTTTCGTAGGCCACTTTATGATAATGACTTGTTGCAGTAATTTCCAAACTCCAACTTGTACCCTTCTGACTCTGAGCATCATAGAGCACAAAAGTAGTAACAGATTAGCAGCAACTCAGCTTCAACACACACAAACACACACACACACTATGATGAATGCAAGCCAGAATATAGACACCTGATCTTGTCTCCTACAGTCACGAGAACTGATACGTTCATTTGACAGTGATAAACTAAGGCACTGAAACTAAATGTACATAAAGCCAGAGACAGAAGACTTGCCGTGGCAAAGAAATAAAAGCAGATTTCCAGGGCTGCATATGACCAAAATACAAGCATAAAAGTGACACGCTAGAGCATAAGGCTAAAAAATTAGAAAGTCATACCAGCATCAAATGGTTTTGAAAATTTAGAGGATGTGCAAAAAAAAGAAAATCACATTTGAATGTACAAATATATCCTTGTGCCCACAGACAACAAACTGAGGCAATTCCATTATAACTGAGCATGCATTCAGTATTTGGATTTTATTCAATATTTTTTATTTTATTTTATTCAACATTTTGCTGTGGTATAACGTAAATTTTTGAAAGGTTTTAGGGGGTTAGAGGTGGAACTTCCACAGTACTTCTGAGGTTAGTATGGTCTTATGATTCTCCAGATTTAATACATGAATCACATCCGGTCATTACATTCTCATCATGCACAAGGGCAGCAAGAAAAATTAATTGGAGAAGATGCATTTTAGACCCTTATTCTGAGTGGTTTTGTTCTACATTGCACATTTACGCACTTTTGTTTGCCTACATAAATATGGTTTATTTGTATACTTTGTGAACTTCAAAGCAATGAAAGTGAAGCATAAAAAAAGTATCTCACCATTACAAATGTACAAATGTTAAACATTCAACTGGAGTCTCTGACAGTCAGGGTTCTTTTCATCTTGACTTTAAATGATGTAAATATTAAAGTCTGCACCTTGTTTGAAACCCTAAAAACGCTTTGTTTTAATGACTGAGATCGAACAGAGTTAATTTATTTCTTCCTCAATACAGTCTCAATCGTGTAATTCTGGCTGTTCTGAGCACACAGTTATGTGCTTCCAAAATCTTCATGCACACATTCACAAGTTCAGATTCATGCCAGAAATTCAAAGCTTCTTCATAAGGGTGTGGAGGAGGCATGAACACATTCACGGTTAAAGAGACAAGACGGTCACTGTTTGAAATGTTCAAGAGTTTAAATATTTAAAAATTCACAATCCAGTCAACTGAATCAATAACCCTTCATCAGTTCAGTAGGTGACGCTTGGACTGCGCGATAGAGAAGTTCATCTGTGTCCTGAAGGCAAAAACAAATGGCGGAGAAATTGACCAAAGGGAAGCCAGCATTTATGTTTAGTCCTCATCCTCTCGGAGTTCGCTTGGCAGGAACTTGTACTGCTGTTGTCTGATGTGTGCCAGCTTCTTACGGGCCTCTTCCAGTTCCCTCTCCTTCCTCAACATCTCCTCCTGAGCAGCAATAATCTGGGCCAAACAGACAAAGCACAACACAAATGAAATATTAACTGAATAAAGCCAATATGGGAGAGTATAATCTTAAAATACAAATTATTATTATCATATAAACAATAAAAACAATAATAATTATTAGTAAATAATTGTACGGGCAATCCGAAAAAATGATGAAGATGCATTTTATAGGTTTTGTATTACAATGCACATTTATTGTTTATAGTTATTATTATTCATATTTGAAAAATATGAGCAGCAAAACATTTGATTATTTATTTATCCATCTATTTATTTGTTAATAATAACAAAAACAACAACAACATTATTTTGGACACAGTCTGTGTTTTTTCTTTTGTATTGCATTGCATACTTATGTACAATTCACCGTCTACATATTTATTCATTTTTAATTAAAATAAAATATTATTAAGTAATTATTGAATTAACCATAGATAGAATTCAGCCTGTAAATCCTACCTGAGCGATTCCTCCAACAAACCTGGTCTTGACCACCACATTATCATCATCCGCCTTGTTGAAAGCAGCTTTCTGGGCCGCTCGAACCAGACTGTCAGAGGCCCGTTTCACAGCATTGCCTGCAGCCTGCAGATGACACATAAGAAGTTCAAGAAATATGCCTATGAAATACATGTTCAATGAATACAGCAATTTAAGTAATGTAACATTGCAGTTACTATTTAAAATATCAGAATTTAGTCTTTTTCTTTATGTAACCGTGTATTACCTGTAGCCTCCTCATAGCCTCTGAATCCTGCTCAGCTTTAACCTTGCACGCCACCAGCAGCTGTGCAGTGGAAGCAGCCACTTGTTTGGCAGAAGAGATGAGCTTTTCTTCACTGGCATGACCTTGGACTGACGCGTTCGCTGCCTCACAGAGGTTACTGGTTGCTGCGGCAACCATGCGTGCCTGTAACAGTGAGCAAACAGAGAAGTTACACAGGAATATAACATGATGACATTTTATTGCCACTTTTTAATGCTTGAGGACTTACAGCAGATATTAGCCCTTGGGACCACTGTCCATCATCCACAGCATTGGCAGGGATGGCTCCCACCTTCAGGAAGGAAAAAGATGGCTATTATGATTCTATAAAAACTGAGTACATAAAAAAAATTCAAGAAACGGTTGCTATTAATAATAATTTTACGGACTGATTAATAAACATTTTTATGGCTTACGCTAAGTTTTCTTACCTTGCCCTGGGCTACGAGTTCTCTCTGAGCTGCTGAAGCTGATTTTACAAGAGCGCTGGTTGCTGCAGCAATAGATTTGGCTGCCTCAAGTATCTGCTCTTCAAAGTCTAAACTCTCATCAGCTTGCTGAAAAAAAAAATATTGAAAAATACAGCTGTAACATCTTGAAGAGTTAAGAAGAAATTGGCTCCCTGTGAAATATATATATAGTATTAGTATATAATAAGAATATACATAAATACACTACTGGTCACATTTTGTAATTAAGATAAGATTCTTTTTTTTTTAAATAAGTCTCGTACTCTCACTCAAAAAAATACAGAAAAAAAGTAATATTTTGAACTGCTTTCTATTGTAATAAATTACATTTAAATGAAAATTCTGAATGAATTCTGAAGGATCAAGTAACACTGAAGACTGAAGTAATGGCTGCTGAAAATTCAGCTTTTCCATCACGGGAATACATTTTATGTTAAAATGCAGCTTTGGTAAGCAAAAGAGACGACTTTCATTATTCTAAACCTTTGACCACAAGTGTTCATACATTACATTACATATAAATGCAAATATCACAGAGCACTGCACAGTGCCCTTACAATACGTCAATTTAGCATAGTCTTTAAAGAGTGTATTAAGCCATGCACACTACCTTTGGTTTGGCTCTTGGTTTGAGCTGCTCAAGTTTCTTGGCTGCTGCTTCGATTGAGGCTGCAGCTCCCAATAACTCCGTTTCAGCGATCACATTAGGATCCTCAGGGTCAACCCATTCAGTGCCTACACACACAATACACACACTTAACTCATGTTTGGCAACGCCTGGAATCATCCCAGGCCTGCTGTAATAACTGAACGTGTGTCAGGTGAATAGGAAATGGATAGCGTTTTTTAAAACAAATCAAGCCAGAGAGAAATTAATTTGGTCACAGAGCTGAACACAAACGAAACACCGCAAAACAAATAAACAAGACACAAATGTGGTTAAATGAGAAAATGTTCTAAATGAAGATTGAAAATACGGAATTATTTTGTACTGGCATCTTGTGGTACTCACCCTCATCTTGAGCGAGACAGGAAAGACAGGAAACTTTACTCAGCACAGTATATCTCCAAACTACACGGAGTGAGCATGTTTTTGTCTTAATGAAGGTGTGTGTTATGAAATATCTCTTACCTTTCATGGCCTCCGCTGTTTGAATCAGTTCAGTGACAGCTGCAGCAACCTTTTTAGAGAACATCACCAATTTTTGTTTCTGATCACCTGTTGGCTTTTGTAAGACCTGAAATACATATATGCACATAAAGAGTCCTGGTTAAGACCAATCCTGAACAAAGGGACCATCAAAGCACTGTGCAGATGCATTATGTGTGTAAATGACTGTGTTTGTACCTGTAGGACATGTTCTAGGAGCTCTATATATCCATTGGTACATTCAGTGCCGTATAACAGAGCTCTGTTTCTGACCTCCTGACTTACTTCCTCATGATATGCTGCTTGCTGAGGGGGAAATTATTAAAGCCCATTATTAAAGTCCACACCAAAAACACCTTCGCTAATCCATAACTGATAATGCACAGATGGACACAAGCAGAAAACAAGTATATGCACACACACCTTGCATGTGGTCAGCATATCAGCTATGACCTTGCGGCTGAGGTTCGCTGTGGAGATGACATCTTCCTGTCTGGCAGAATTTCCTGCTGCGACTGCTTTGGCGGTTGCCGTAGTGATGCCCTTCGTCATGCGAATGAACTCCTCGGGAGTGGTTGATTTCTCAGGGGCTTTTTTAGATTGAAACAACTGATGACGACACAATTGTTAATTGAATAGTTTTGTCACCACGCTTGTCTATATTTGAGCAAGATTTGTACAAGACACAGGTCAAAATTTTGGTCAATTTAAAGACCTGATGATTAACACACACACAAAAAAAGTGCCTACACTGTTTTCTTGTGTGTTCAACTTACTGTGAGTTCCTGTTTGATGCACTCGATAGTGGCTTCCAGAGCTCTGGTTCCTCTTGAAGCCTCATCCTCCACTGCCTTCACCGTTTTCAGTAAGGATGTTACATTAGTTACCATAACCTGAACACACAGACGTAAGGCATACATTTACATTTTCACATCTGAAAACATCACTCCCTCTGTGAACATTAATTGAACTTTTACAGAAGAACATCTGATGGCAAAATTCACTATTGCAAACATATCTGCCTTTGGAAACTAGCAATTTTTAGACAACTTATTTTCTCCTATCTTTTCAATTTATATATATATATATATATAAAATTATAAAAATAAAAGCCAAAATATCAATAAATACTATAACAGTACATAAATAATCCTAAAATAACAATGATCTCAGGTTAAACTGGTAAAATCCCCATTTATTTGATTCCTAAAAATGAATGACTCCAAACTCATGCAGAACTATGCCATTAATAGAGCATGTAGTTCATTTTATCGCAAAATATTTGGGACTAAGTGTGCAATGGGAATTATAGTAGCGGATGGAGAAGAAAACATTAATTTTCTCATTAATAATTAATCTGATTAATGGCACACACTGGAATGAGCTTCTCACCAGAACACTTTTACTCATATCTGAGTTAGGAGACATTTCCATCCGTGCAGCCAGATTTCTGAAGGACAACTGGGAGATTACAGTTTCAAAGACAAATATATAACAGCTATTTGCCTAGATGAAGTGTTTCTTACCAAGTTCTGTGCTCTTGAGGTATGATGGAAAAGGGAGAATAATATTTATGCAGAAGTGTTTTTGACTGTCGTACCTTGGCCGCATTCTTAAGCTGGAATATGGAGGGGTCATCTGCTGCTTTTCCCGCTGCACACTTGGTGGCACTAATGAGATCAGCTAAAGCTTTAGCAACATCCTTCACTGCGTTGATCAGCACCACCTACGAGGAGATGAATGACAATAACACATGCACATTCCAGAAAGATGACTTACCACCGGCTGCTGATAAAACCCTGTGTTTGACTTCTCCTCTGTCCTCATCACTTTCTCCATGTCTCTCACCTGTGTTTCTGGGTCATCCGCGCCTATGCTGGCCGCTCCCAATTTCACCACATCTGTAAGGTGGATGATGGTTTTGGCAGAAGACTGGGCGGCCTGGGCCAGCTTCTCTTGACTTGATGCTGCACCTGAAACAAGGTTCTTAGTGTCCTCTACCAGCGCTTTGGCTGTCTTCAGAATATTCTCTCTAAAAACAAAGAGAGAGAGAGAATACATAAATGATACAAGTTTGATTATAATGCTTATGTACATATGAATGATTTCATATGGTGCATATACGTATAGGTATATGGTGCATATACTGTAGGTGCATAGGTATTTGTTAGCATTATTCTTTAATACATAATTCTGGCTGGTCCATTGTGGCAAACCAATCTCCTGTGTTGTCCCATGTTTCTAGTATTACTACCCAGTCTCTTTCTTCTCACATAATACAGCAAATTATAAAATATACAAATAAATTCAATCAATAAATAAATTCAAAGTAAATAAAATGAAATTGAATGTATTAATAAAGTCAATATATAAAATAGGAAATATATAAAATTGATT